GGGAGGCGGCGGCGGCGGCGCGTCCCTCCCCTCACGGCGCCGCTCTCCGCAGGGCTGGAGCGGCGGCTACCCCGAGATCGTGAAGGAGAACGCGCTGTTTGAGCGCTACTACGGCGAGCTGGGCATCGTGCCGCCCGGCGAGTGGGCCGCGTTCATGGCGGCGCTGCGCGAGCCGCTGCCCGCCACGCTGCGCATCACCGGCTACAAGAGGTGAGGGCGCCGCGCCGCGCCGGGCCAGGCCGCGCCTAGCCGGGCCGGGCCTGGCCTGAGCGCAGCGCAATCCGTCCGCAGCCACGCCAGGGAGCTGCTGCACTGCCTCAAGAGCAAGTACTTCAGGGAGCTGCGCGAGCTGCGCGTGGACGGGCAGGCCGTGGAGGTGCCGCAGGCGCTGAGCTGGTGAGAGAGCCCCGCGCTGCCCCCCGCGCTGCCCCCCGCGCTGCCCCCCGCGCTGTCCCCTCGCCCCGCGCCGGCCCCCCGGCTCGGCCCGCCCTTCGCCCCTCACCCCGGTTTGTGCCCTCGTCATCCCTGCTCTCTTGTCCCAGGTACCCGGAGGAGCTGGCCTGGCACACGAACCTGAGCAGGAAGATCTTGCGCAAATCGCCAGAACTGGAGAAGTTCCACCAGTTCCTGGTCAGCGAGACGGAATGCGTAAGTGTCAGGGCGCTTGGTGCCTCTGGATCTCGATGCTTCTTTGTGGCTGGGTAGATTTCTGTCAGGGTTTTGTTTCAGAACAGTATCAAGAGCTTCAGTGCGCCCTTCCTTTCAAAAGTTGGTTGGCTCAGGAAAATCCGGGTTATTTCGCGTGTTGCTTTTGGCAGTGGCTCATCCTGTAGTTCTAGCACAGAACTGCAGTTATGTGCTAAAGCTAACCCGGTTTTTGTTGGCCATGTGACAACGTGCACCTCTAAAGTCATCACTTAAATGTTATTGTAAGAATTAATTACTGCTAGAAAACTGACATTTGAATCTTTGCAGAGTGAACATATGTGTTCAGAATGACTGTTTCTTACTTGTGCTTAGCTAAAGCACTTACCTCTTTTGGTTAGTAAATGCATCCTTAGAATTAATAAATCTGCAGTATTTCATCCAGCTGAATTTTCTGATAAGTTCATGTTTATCCCATTGTAAGTTTGGTGTTAAATGCTAAAATTTATTTTAAAGTTTACAACTGTCTTATTATTATGCTATGAGGAATTCAAACATATATATATATGTGTGTGTGCGCATGTGTATGTATATGTATATGTATAACCAAAGAGATGCTTTTATTTATGGAATAAAAAATGAGGTTTTGAGCTTTTATTTTTAATTTTTTAAGGGAAACATCAGTCGTCAAGAAGCTGTTAGTATGATTCCGCCTCTGCTGCTTAATGTTAGTCCTCACCATAAGGTAAATTTAATATAAGCTGTATACTGCTTTTTTTTTTTTTTCTGGAAAGATACTTCAGTTATCTAGAAGTTATTTGAGTATCTGCATATAAAGAACAGCAATTAACTACTTTTCAGATCACAAGTACATTGTCAAAGGGAGAGCTGTTTTTTTTTTGACCATAGTTAATATCATATAACAGATGCTCAGTTTTGAATTAGTTGCACAATGTTACTTTCAATGGGTAGTTGCACTTTGTTTTATGTAGGCTAATGTATTTGTGTTTTGGCTCCTTTTTAAAGGAGGGTGACTTAAGTATTTTTAATTCCCCATCCACTATCCACCACACTGGGAGCAGGCATCCTTTTCAATTTATCGTCCTTTCTGTAAGTTACTTTCAGTTCTCAACTTGTTAGGCAAAGTCATTTCAGTGAGCTGAAACACTTGACAGAAACTAAAAATTATAGGTTGCTAATTTCTGACTGAGGTGACTAAGGGAACTACTGCCTGTGACATTTTCTTATGGCAGATGGTAGGAATGATATCTGGCAGCAGGCCTGCTAGTAAATGTCCTGTTCTAACTTAGTGATGTCTTGATATACAACATATATTTTCAGAATGCACTTCTTTGCAGTTTGCCTGGTGGTTGTATTCTTCTCAGGCTGTGTTAGTGAGCTACTCGGAAGAAAACCTTTAAGCTTTGTTCCTGAGGAAAGCAGTGCTCGGTAGCAAATTGTTAGCTGTGAAAGTGTCTCCCTAAGTGTCTCTGTCACAATGAACCAGGAGCAAGAAATATCCTAGCAAGCAGGTCTGAGTGGCTTGAGAGTGTTTTGTTGCCAGAGGAGAGGACTGAATATTTGTCAGGTATTTCTTCCAGGATATAATAGAAGCAATTTATATTGCCCTGATTTTTGCATTAAAATGCAAATATGAAGATACTCTAGCAATTCTTTTTTTTTTTTTTTTTTTTACAAAATTGTGTTCTGTAATATGTAACATTGTATGTTACAGAATTACATTATACTGTATTACAGAATTACACAAATAAATACTACATTAATATATAACATATGATATGTGTGATATTAAAAAAAAAAAAAATCACCTGTCAGATATTCTCTGATTAGTTTACTCATAGTTAAAGGAAATTATCACATGTTCTTGAAGGTAAGTTTACCATGAGCGTAAGCTTCCAATTAATATCAGTCAAAATAGCTTGTGAGCTGATAAAATGACCATTTCCGTGTTCTCCTTTCAGGGTTTTTTGGTTTGTTTTGTTTTTTTTTTTTTTTTTTTACGTCAACTGATACATTTGTTTCCTACAAACTGGTAGTCTCTTGTATTTCGGAACCTGTATATCTTGATGCATGTAAAGAACAGAAGTGTTCTTGGTGTTTTTGCAAAGGTGTGTGTAGAATAATTATAACTGTATAGGTAAAATTGCAAAAGCTGCAAAACTATGCAAAAATTTTTAGTCCACAGTTAGACTATGG